GAAATTTTATATCAATATTGAAATTATTTATTTTATTTAGTGTTTTCTATGCACAACCCAAAATCGTAAATTTTAGGGTGTGACACGCGAGTGCTCAGGGGTAGGGGTGTGTTACAAAGACCGGTGTGTGCGCACGTGTTGTGCATGCATGTGTCATGTGTGTTCTTCTTCTTCTATTTGTTCTTTTCATCCTCCCTATGCTCCATCCCCCTTATATGCCTGGGATGGAGCTTATGTGTACGTGGAGTTTGTATAGGTATCACTATGGAATAATTAGCTAAGAATTTAAATATGTTCATAGACACCAACCTTTTGAACGATGGATTCACCATAATTTAAGCCTTGCACAAATGTCCAATTGGAAAAGTGCTCTCTAGAATGGAGAAAGAACTAGAATGAGAATCAAGCATTGTAGCCATCAAAACAAAGCTAATTAAGCAACAAAATTAAAGGAGTAGATGTTTGTTACTAACCTTAAAGCAAAAAAAATCAAGCCATTCTTCAAAATCCAAGTGCTAGCTTCATGGTGAAGAGCAGCCGCAACAAAGGAGGGAAGGGCCCAAACGCGCGCCTCTGTTCTCGGGATGAAAGAGAGGAGGAAGAAGAGGACGGCTGCAGCCTTTTTATGCTATAGGGTTATCACCGTCGGTTCATGGATAGAACCGACAGTGATAGAGCCCAATCACTGTCGGCTCTTGGCTTGAACCGGCAGTGATATATGGCCATCAAGCCACTTCCGGTTGGAGACACAAACCGGCAGTGATAGTTGTCGTCACTGCTGGTTCGGTCACATCCCAAATTAATTTTTGGTTTTCAGAGCAAAGAATCGGCAGTGAAGGGTCAACACTGTCGGTTCTCCTAATTCCGGCAGTGATGAGGCCGGCAGTGAAGTGCTATTCTGTAGTAGTGGTGGGGGCTATTCCAACTGGCCTATAGGATGTTGTCTTGTTGGATGAGCGTCACTGGTGTCATGGCTTCGTCTTATTGCCATGTATGATGGGTGGCTTTGGTAGCCAGGCTGGTGGCTGTGAGGTGATGGTAGGATATCTCTTGTCTTGTGTAGCATGTGGGAGCAGTGTCATCCCACGCAGGTTAGGTGAGATGGCGTTAGGCACTCACAAGGGTACTACACACTCTGCGCCACCCGACATTACTCCAATAGCCACTTCTCCATTGATACAAAAATACTAAAATATTTAGTTTGGTGATTTTGGTATTTATTGTTGATTTGGTTCACACATTCTCCCATTTGGAATCAAACTCCAAAAAAGGAAAACAATAGTAGAACAAGCGAGAGAGTCAAATATTATAATCCTTTGGATGTGGATGGAATTGGATCACAATATTTGACACTCAAAATATATAGACTAATAAGCTCCCTGTAAGTGTAAGCATACATTTGGTGGAAGGCATAGCATATACATATATATAACTAAACATTTAAGCCAAGATAGGAAATTTAATCTATAAAATGCACAGGGACAGGACTAAGCAAATAGAAGAAAGAAACAAACGCATACCACTTTAAAGATTATACTCTTTTGAGCCCGTGCATATCTCCAGAGACTTCACTTATTTTCAATGATACTACGCACAAGATGAGCTTGCAAACTTATTAGTCTAAAAAAAAAACATAGGATAAGCTCCCATAAAATGTGCATACAAGACACAAGTATTTGAATTACTTGTATGAGTCATGCACTTGACTTTGAGACCAAAGTACCACTTGAAAATATCACTTGACTTCTCGGCCCTAGTTTTTAGTTTTTGTTCTTTGTTGCTGCCTACTTCGTTGTGACAGAAAACAAAAGGCCCCAAGGATAACTAAGCCAACCTAGTGCAGCATATCACCACCGCTCATCCTAACGGGGTTACCCTTGGGTGCATGGTAGTATTAGGTTCCAAAAGCGCTCTCACTGGCGTATCCTGCTTATAGTACGTGCTCCCGACGTGACTTTTCTTGTGACATGTCTTGAGCATCGCGCTCGTCACTTAGTGCACACGTGACGTGTTAGTGTGGGTACCAAGCATCATGATTACTGCAAACTGTGTCATGATCCGAACACTTACACGTTAGTTCATGTCACCCAATTATTAATGTGGTTCATTCTAGAAAAGGAATCAACTGCCCGTGCATGTCATCATGGATAACGCAAAGCATTTAGCCTTTTGACATATAGTAGGTCACTACAGAGAGATCCTAGTAAGCCCCAAAACTTTCAATATAGCTTTCCATAAGCATGCTTATTAGAGATAATCTATGATATGCTTAGGGCGTGACTTAAGCAAACGGATTTGGACCCTTAACACGCTCCTCTCTTATCTACTAGCTAGCTCTCTCATCGGTCATCACCTCTTTATATATATATATTTTATATATAGGCAGTAATATCCTCTCCAGCACATGAGCTAATGCAGAACTATGTACCAATCGTACACAGTTAGGCTTAACATGTGACATCATGCTTTAACTAGTTTAGCATGTCTTCGCGTGTGATCGCTTCAAACGCATGGGTTTTTTATAGAGCATTAGAGAGGTAGATGACCAGCACGAAAAGCTAGTTCTACAAACATTGTTTGCATTATCTTCTTGTCATGTGGTACGATGCATCGTTTGAAAAGATCTAGCTAAGCTAGAAGGCTCTAAGCATAAACAAATTGGCTGTCTCCAATGAGGAGGCTTCCTAGGCCCTGTTTGGTTGAGTTGTGGCTGTGGAAAAAAGCTGCTGTGGGCTGTGAGCTGTAGAAAAACTGAAAGCTGTTTGGTTAAACAAGTATAAAATATACCTTTTATCTTTATCTCTCTTGAAACAACTATGGAAGAGTTTTTTATTCCACCAATTTCGAAAAGCAGAAAGCCAAAAGCCAAAAGCAGGGTCAAACCAGCTTTCAAAAATGAACTACGGAAAAGCAGCTGCTTCTGAAAAAGCACCCTCCAAAAGCAGCCCCTTTGGTTGGGCTTTTGGCTTTTGAGGCCAAAAGCCAAAGCCAAAAGCCCAACCAAACAGGGCCTTAACCAAATGGATATACTCTAGGATCAACCAAACGTGCTTATCTCATTACTGATGGAGCATGATATGTGGACCATCACCAACCATGCATGCTTATATACAAATAAATAACCAGAACAAGTGGTATAGATGCATTCGGTCGAGCAGCGTGCGCCGCCGCCGCCGCCACCGTCGTTGTCTTTCCGGTGTCCTGCGGCGACTAAAATATCAGTAGCTCCGGCGGTGACGTTTTGCCCTAGCATTGGTCCACCTATGCATGCACGAATGGGGATTGGGGCATAGGTTCAGCTGCGGCAGGCGCATCTGTCTGTCAACGTTGAATTTATGAACAAACCGACGATTAATAGCCCGTCATTTGATTGGACTTCTGAGGGGTTAAATTAAATTGGCTAGTTTGTCCGGGAGTATTTTGTCTTTACTTTGGACTGCCTTTTGCAGAGACAAAGATGAGCAAGAATGTTGTGATATGGCATCTTATTGGTACTACTTTGGAGCCTTAAGTTATCCTCATGGGACGTTTCAAAAATAAATGAATCCTATAAATCCTCATTGAGAACAGTAACTATTATATTTCTAAAAAAAGTTGTCCACCTATGCTATTATTAGAAAAACCATAAAGGAACTACTTAAGCCTCTATATGTAATTGCTCTATATGCCAATATGAAAAAATATCCTTAAATAACGCTTAAGTATTTACCTAAGTTACCCACCAATGCTATTGTTAGAAATAAATCTAGAGTAAAGTTCAAAAAAAAAATCTAGAGTAAGCACCTAAATTTGCATTTAAAGTACACATATCTACCATTGTTAAGAATAACCTAAAATAAGCTCATCCAAACCTGTGCTAAATTACCTACATTATTTGTCATTATACTTTGCTTACCGATTACTTTATATGTTTTTCCAATGGCATTAATGTTTTTTTCACTTTTATAGTGCATATATTAGTGTTTGAAATGTGTTTATAGTTGGGCCTTAGTTAAGTTTGACATGGAAATTGTTGTGCTCGTCGCTTCTTGTATATACATGGCCTCCATATACATAGTGACATATATCATGCATATATTCCTTGAGTTAGCCCCTATTTTAACATTTAGAGCATTTTTACATGTACTGAAAAAATTTTGAAAACAAAACTCGACAAAAACCGCATACATTTCAAATTTGAGGAAAATTTGACAACATTAATTATATATATTTTAAAAATCTGAAAGTACATGAATAGAAATTACAAACCTCACTCATAATTCTTTTACCAATTCTCTAGATGTTTTCATTTTTTAATTCCTTTATTTCAATTCAAACTAACGATTTTTTTTAAAAAAAAATAGGTGCGAAACGGTTCATTTGGGGTGTCAAAGTAACATTACATAGTTGAAAAAACATGGATAAAATCACAATTTGGCTTCACGGTAGGGGCAAGAACATCATTTGTCCCTACATTTTTTTGTTAACCGTAGCCCCCATGCAATTTTATCCACACGAACATGTAACACTTAAATAATAAATCTCTTTAAAAAATCATTACACACGTATGAAGTAGCTACACGTTGGTCATCAAGCGAGTATATTATAACTAGCTAGATCTACGTACTAAGTACGGAACCGTCCATCTCTGCAAAAAGGCATCAGCAGGAAGCAACTAGGTATATTCCAAGTCCAGCTCCCTGGAGAATAATATAATATAATCCAGTTCTCTAGCTTTTGTCAGTCTCCAAGTGGATAAGGATTCAAACAGCACATGCTGCAAAATATAGCCAGAATATCTACACATCCACAAGGAACGTGGCTGTGTGCATCATCATTCATTCATCGATAGCCACATGAATTCCAGTACACCCCGGCCGGCGGCCCTAATTTACAATCTTAATTTTACATGAAAATAATGAAAGCAAAGAGGGAATACTCCAATTAATTTGCTCTGATCCAGTCTGTCTGTCGTAGATTTCTACAGGAGGTTCTTCAAACCCGTCCCTTCTTCAGCATTTCTACTGCATCCCGATGTGGCTGCTCAGTAGCAGCTGCTGCTGGTTGAAGAACGGATTGCTTAGCAGCAGGCTGCTGTACTGAAATCCTGCACTCGCACTGTCCACAAGCTGCTGCTGATTGCAGTAGCCGCTGCTTGTGGTGCCGAAATGGCCGCCGCTCCTCGAATCACTTGGCAGCTTCAGTTTCTTGCTACTGAAACTGCTGCTGCTGCCATCATCGAAGGACGATTCATCCACGGCCATCACTCTCTTCCTCTTCTTCCCACCGTTGTTATCTGAGCCTATTACTGCGTCTACTGCAGCAGTCGGCAAGTTGTTGTTCATTACGCTGTTGTCTTCGTAGTTATTAGTAAGTGCTTGGTGTGTCGTTTGTGTTGCTGGTGGGTAGATTAGTGGAGGGCTTTGCTGTGGCTCCTCGGCCTCAGCAGGGATGTCCAGGAACATCTGCGAGAGCGACGCGTAGTCGATGCTGTTGAAGAGGTCGGTGAGCGAGCACGACTTGCTCATCGTCTGATGATGGAGCTGCTGCTGCTGCTGCTGCTCATGATATTGACCAGCAAGAGTTGTTTCAGTAGAGTCGTTCATGTTGTTGAAGGTGGTGGTGCTGTCGTTGATGAGAAGAGTATCTACTTCCTCCACAGTTGAGCCCTCCTGCTCCTGATCCGACAACTGGAAATCGTTGCTCTTCTTGTGGATCCTGCACAGCACCCAGTCGTCCAGCTGAAACCAAACCAAACACAACATTAGATGCAGGATATTTCAGCAAACATCAGCCGTGGAAGTAGTAGCTGCAGAACCAGTAGTATCATCGATCAGCCGGGCTGAAAAAAAAAAATCGTCTCACCCTCATGGAGGATCCTGCTCTGCGCTTGGTGGTGCTGCTCTTGTGATCATCAGTGCCCGTCAGGCGGTACTCGTGCATGATCCAGTCCGTCTTGACGCCCTTGGGAGGCCTGCCGCCATAGAAGACGAGCGCCTTCTTGACGCCGATGTTCTGGCTCGTGGACGTGGACAGGATGGCCTTGTCGGTGCCGGTGGCCTTCCAGTATCCCGACCCGGCGGCGCGGTTGGGGCGGACGCCGTTGGGGTACTTGCGGTCCCGGGGGGTGAAGAAGTACCACTCGTTCTCGCCAAACAATGCCTTGGCTGATGAACCACACAAGAAGAAGAAGAAGAAAATTCAACTCATGGAATTTAGAAACTAGCAGTACGTTTTGGCTTCTTCTCTATATATATATATCTATATATCTATATACAACTAAAACATACGGATTATCAACATCTACCGGCAGGACCAAAACACTCGTACGATCCATATCCGGCAGGCAAATAATCACCGCATCCCGTGCGATCCATATCCGGCAGTCAAATAATCACCGTATGGAGACACTGGAAGGCAAGTAAATAAAATGAAATAAAACTCACGGAATCACCGGCAGGCAAATAATCACCGCATGAAGACACAGGAAGGCAAGTAAAAAATAGAACAAAACGGGAAGAGAAAGAAATTTATTAGAATATCACCTAGCAATAAATTTTCAGCCTTTGAGGCAACTGATGTTTGTCGTAACTTTCAGCCAACAAGCTCCCAGCCTAGCTTTTATTTCAGATTCATTACGATAATGAATGTGTTTCTAGACATTATCATGGTATAATACACGTGAAAAATTGAATTGATATGTTCTTGATTTTGACTTGGCTAACAAACATCTCATTCAATTTATGTCGCACCTGGTGCAACACTCATCTATGTAATAAGTAAATAAATAAATGTGATTGGTTAGTTAATTAATTAATTACCAGGGAGATCCCAGGGGTTGCACTGGTAGATGTTGACCTCGGCGATGATGGGGACGGGGCACGGCATGGAGGCCGCCTGGTTCCTGAGGTAGTGCACGATCAGCTCCTCGTCCGTGGGGTGGAACCGGAACCCGGCTGGGAGGTTCAGGTTGCCCACTCTACTGCTACTGCCGCCGCCACTCGGCATGGCCGACGGCGATGTGCTAGCTGTTGCCTCTTGCTGGATTATACTGCTCGATCTACCTAGCTAGCTACCTACCTCTGCAGTAGTTTATCTATATATGTTGGCTACTACTGACTGACTACCTGTAAATATAAGAGCCTAGAGGTTAGAACTAGAGGCATGAATCTTGAAATTTTTGAGATGGAGGGACTGGGCCTCCGTTTTATAGAAGCCATGGCCTTGTCTTGTTGTAGCTAGCCCAGCCAGCGAGGAGGGTGCAGTTTGGTGGACTATGGATTAGGATGACGTACGACCAAAGGGCACAACAGTCATCTCGCATATATTTGACCACGTGTTCACCGTATAGTGGTAGTAGTATATATATAAGGCCAAGGTGGTGACGGACCCATCGTACTCCAGCTGCTGTGGATTTTATTTTATAATGAAATTGTGACTAATTTGCCCTCGAGCGGCCGTAGTATAGTTATCGAGCTCGAGCTGGCTCCACGCAAGGCGCCCACACCCGTACGTGTGCGTGCAACGCTGCAAGGGGGGAAGAACCAGTCTGTCTCTGCGAGTCTGGGGGAGATAACGAAAGCAACGGGGTGGATGGATGGATAGATGGTGTGATAGGGATGAAGACGATGACGTCCGTCTACGGCGCCCGCCACGTGTCGACCTGCCATGACCGCCAATGATATGTGGCACATGCATGCTTTCGGCAGCGTTCGATCGACTGGCATGGCCATGGCCCCCATTGTTTTGTTATCCTGATGAGAGGTTGGTCCATGGGTGGGCCCACCTCGTGGAAACCATGCGCCCCATCAATTCTATAATCACCTTGGTATGAATGTTTTATGCTTGTTTGTACGTGGTACAAAAGTACTAGCAGTATATACTTCCTCCATTTCACATTATAAGTCGTTCTTTTGGCTTTTCTACGTATAGTTTTTTTGCTATGCATTTCTATATTCATTTTGGTCCGAATGTTTTATGCTTGTTTGTACGTAGTACAGTAGTACTAGTAGTATATACTGCCTCTATTTTAAATTATAAATCGTTCTTACTTTTCTATATATATAGTTTTTTTCTAAATACTATGTACCTAAAAAGTTAAAAAAAAACTTATAATTTAGAACTGAGCGAGAAACAAGCATATCCCTTAAGAAAAGAAAATGCAACTAGGCAGCCCTATGCCCATGAGAAAAGGCGAGAAAATCAATGCTAGCAATGGTGCAGATTCCAATGGTGTCAACTTCCACCGGTCAAGCTAAGCAACAACGTCGTACCTTCGAGGGGGACGATATAGAAGAGTTGGTAAAGGTGTTTGACTTTGCTATCAAGAATTGTGCTTCATTTCTCCAATGTGGTTGAGCCTAGCTAGACTTCATAGCTAAACTATAAAAAGTTTCTTTTTATTTTAGTGTAGTCAATTCTCAATTGCTATCACCCATTCCCCACATTATTGTCAAGGCAACTACACAGATCAAAACTAGTAAACTTGCAGAAATATACTTCCTTTCGGACACAAAAACTTGACATTTTGGGAAAAATGATGTCAAACTCTAGAAAGTACAATAGCCAATGTTTTAATAAAATATTTTAGTCTTTTACAAGAAAGTCATCTGGAACACTATTTTAAATTTGCAGTCTCATATATTTATTGAATTATACATATAGTTTAAAGTCAAAGTTGGCAAAGGCATGGTCCAGAGATTATGTAATGTGCACAACACATAGAAAAGTCTGAAATAAGACCATTTTGGTCCTTGGACTCATTTGATTGATTTTGACACTCAACCCTAACACCGTTTAAATCTAGCATCACAGCTATGAGTATATATTATTCTATTTTAACCCCTAAGCTTGTGTTGCCTTTTTTGTGTGGTTTTCAAATTTCAAGTGATATGCCAATGTTTTTCCTCCTCGTTTTAGTATGTTTTTTCGCCAACTAAGTGATGAATGACAGGTAAGCCTAGGTGAAGTCGTGATCGATCTAGGTGGCTAAAAACTACCAACTTCTAAGAAAATCTTGAAAACTACCAAGAATAGGAGTGGAGTCAAAATTGGAATGATATTGGTACATGAGGTATATATGTAGACAATATTACAGCTGGTGTTCAAAACTAGATAAACATAGGAGTTAAGAGGTCAAAAATGGACTTGGTCCAAACAAAAGCAAGAATAGGTCCATTTTGGTATTTTTAACTCTTTTGTGTGTCTGATTTTGACCCTCAACTCTAGTACCTTCTAAATCTAGCGCCACAACTAATATTTTGACTCTCTGGGATCGTCTTAGGTGGTTTAGAAGTGATGTGCAACATTTTCTGTCCACGTTTGCTTTTTCTTTTGCTAACTAGACCATGAATGGTCTAAATGGCAAAATAAAAACTTCCAATTTGCCATCAAAACTTCGGGCACATCGCTTTAAAATTAAACTGCTGAAACTAGGATTGGGGTCAGAACTGAATGCTATTAGTGTTTGAGGTATATATCTATGAAGTATTATTCGTGGTGGTCAAAGTTAGAAAAACATGAGAGCTTGAGAGCTCAAAACTGGACTTGATACAATTGTATCTCAAAGAAAAACAAGATTTATAGCCACACTATAATGTTCTCTGTTGTGTGGGCACTAATTGTTCCACAATGCCTCTCCCACCTTGTCAATGCAATTCCACAAATCAAAACTAAAAAGGTTATATAATCATGTATAATTCCTTCTGTCGGGGTTATGATACCCTGGGTATCTCAGGACACCGATTAGTTAGCCACTCGGGCGGCCCACTAAAAGCTTTAGTTTGGTTTTGGTGAATTGATGAAACCCTAAATGCTAACCATTTTACTCTAAGTGATCATGAGATAGGGTAGCACATTCCAAGTGGTGGAGCAAGTGATGATGATCATTTTGGTGGTGATGGCCATGGTGATCAAGTGCTCGGGCTTGGAAGAGAAGAAAGAGAAAAACAAAAGCTCAAGGCAAAGGTGATATCCATAGGAGCTTTTGTGTTTTGGTGATGAAGACACCTAGTGGGTGTGATCACATTTTGGATAGATAGTCGTACTTTTAAGAGGGGTGAAACTCGACATGAAATGCGGTTATCAAAGTGCCACTAGATGTTCTAACTCATTGCATATGCATTTAGATTATAGTGAATGCTAACACCCTTGAAAATGTTTGTGAAAATATGCTAACACACGTGCACAAGGTGATACACTTGGTGGTTAGCACATTTGAGCAAGGGTGGTGAAGTTGGTGAAGTCGAGGGGTTGTTTTCCCTCGACCGGACGCTGGACCTGTGCGTCCGGTCAGTGGTGCAGCAGTGGCGCGGCTTCGGCCTTCGACCGGATGCTGGCGTGAGGTGGTGAACGGACACGCAGTACCTAGGTCCGATCGGAGGTGACGTATGCTAACGTTGGCGGCGTTGGAGGTGGCATGAAGGGCCAGAGAGGATCGGACACCATGGTGAGTCCGGTCGTCAAATTCCCTCTCTGGTGCCTTTCTGGAAGTGACCGGACACCACGATGTTGGCGAGTCCGGTCAGGCAGCGGTGCGTCAGGTCCCGGACTTGGTGCCTCGGGCTCACGCACAATTGGACACGACGTGAGCGTGTCAGGTCTTGCGGCTGTGAGTCCGATCGTCACTTAATGTGCGTAAGCGAGCAGCTAGCCGTTGAGTTTGGGCGATCACCGTTGAATCAGGGGGACACGTGGACGGCAGCGCATGACCGGACGCTGGGCGTGGTGCATCCGGTTGTTCTGACCGGCGCGTTCGGTCTCCTCGTGGAGGCAGGCAGTGAGAGTCCAACGGCTCTATTTCGTGGGGGGCTTCTATTTAAGCCCCATGGCTGGCTCTAGCTCATTCTCTTGGCCATTTTCATTAACATAGCAACCTAGTGAGCTAAGCCAAAGCCCTCCCACTCATCTCCATCATTGATTCATCATATTTGAAAGATTGGGAGTGAATCCAAGTACATTGCTTGAGTGATTGCATCTAGAGGCACTTAGTAATTGTGTTTTGCTGTGGGATTCGCTTGTTTCTCTTGGTGGTTGCCACCACCTAGACGGCTTGGTGCAGCGAGGATCATTGAGTGTAGGAAGGTGTTTGTCTCTGGCTCTGATCGTGGTGATTGTAAGGGGTTCTTGACCTTTCCCCAGCGGAGAGCCAAAAGGTACTCTAGTGGATTGCTCGTGGCTTGTGGATCCTCATCTTATGTTGGTTGTGCGGCACCCGGTTGTGGGTTAGGCGTGTGATGCCTATTATACGTGAACCTCCAAGTGAGGGAATCGCCGCAACAGGAACTAGCTTGCCGACAAGCAAGTGAACCTCGGTGAAAAATCATTGTGTCATCTTGTCTTTGAGGATTTCATTGGTATTCATTGTGATTGATTGTTTGTCGCTTACCACGTCGATATATCATCACTACCTCACCCTTGTACTTAATTTCCTAGTGTAGCTAAGCTCTTTAGTGTAATTAGTTTTGAGAGATAGCTTGTGTCTTGTCTAGTGATTAGTGAGGCTCTTTAGTTAGTCTTTGAGAGCTCACTAACTTAGTGGTAATGACTTAGCCTCTTGTGTGAATTAGAGATCATAGCTACTTCCTCCATCCCAAATTGTAAGTCATTCCAAGAATCTTGGAGAGTCAAACTTTTTCAAGTTTGACTAAAATTATAGAGAGAAACACAAAGATTGATGACATCAAATAGGTATAATATGAAAATATAACTAATGAAGAATCTAATGATACTTACTTGGTATGATAAATATTATTATTTTGTTATATAAATTTGGTCAAACTTGAAAAACTTTGACTTTCCAAGATTCTTGGAATGACTTACAATTTGGGATGGAGGGAGTACTAGAATTATGGATAGGTGGCTTGCATTTTGAGTAGGCTAGCGCAACACTCGCTTCGCCGTTTAATTGTCTAACATCTTGGCTTAAGTGTTGTTGTAGAAATTTTCAATAGGCTATTCACCCCCCTCTAGCCATTAGGACCTTTCACCCACGACGGCCCAACAAAGCA